TGGAGCCCGCTTTGGATTCTGTGTCTCCTTCTCCCTCTGCCCCTCCCCCACTCACACTCTGTCTCTCTCCATCTCTCAAAAATGAATGAACATCAAAAAAGGATTTTTAAAAAGAATAGTGAAAAAGGCAAAGAATAGGGAGAAACGTCCCCATATCATTCATGTGCTCCTTCAGCACTTCGGATTCCTCAGTCTGCTTCTGCACAAAATCATCCTTCCACGAAGTGTGTTATTTAAAGCCATCGTGAGACATTACTGGAAGTGAAGCAAGAACACTGTTGTTCAGGACAACAGACCAACACAGCTTTCCTCCTGTAGCCTCGAGAAAGTCCGGACAGATCCAGTGAGATGGTAGATTCTATTTGTTTTCACCTTGGAGTGTGGCTGATATACAGTGTATCACACTTAGTGTCAACTGTATAGAGATTCTCAGAAAGACGTAGACATCTAAATCCTTGCAGGATCTGAGGGGTGTCCTGGGAGAAACATAGTGATGTGGTACACCAAGTTAAGAGGCAAACAACCCCAAAATGGGAGGGTGGATTACATAATGTTTTAAAACTCTGCATTTCCACTGTTACGCATGCCAACGTGCTCTAAAATCTTCATTTTCAGTGCTTTAGAGGTGCGTTCGGTCTCCATGGATAAAATGTGCACATGGCTTGTACGTGGCTCTGCACTCCCGAGCCTTGGGCTCCCTGTGTCAACACCCACAGATAGATGCTCACAGGTCTGGCTTCCTCGTGTCCCAACAGGGGACTCCCATCAAACCTTTTCTCACCATGTTGCCACCCCCATGCACTCATCATGGACACGTGTATGCCTGCCAACCATGCGTGTTCAGAACACTCTATGACTTTGGGTGTTTATTATGTTCTCTGCATTGGTGGTACCTTTGTAAGCAAGATTCTGAATCCTGTGGCATCAGAATAATCTGATAGGCATTGACCCTTTCTGACAACGTGCATAATGATGGTCTATGGTGACTGCAGAATCCACTTGGGGGGCTTTCTAGCAAGAATGGGGAAATTTGGGTTGAATTTACTGATGATGGATTACTGGCTCTGTCCTGAAATGTTCCATTTTTCCTAAAGGTGAAATCCTTCAGGCCATTGAAGAAAACGGTCTGAAAAACACGACATTCGCGTATTTTACCTCTGATCACGGAGGACATTTGGAGGCAAGAGACGAACGCGGCCAGCTGGGGGGATGGAATGGAATATTCAGAGGTGAGACCAGTGGAGATTGGGGCTGAAAAGGCAGATCGTGGTCCACCAAATGACTCCCAGCAGTGGAGACTGGAGAACAAGCAGAAGGGGGAAAGAGTGTGTTCTTTCTTTCTTTCTTTCTTTCTTTCTTTCTTTCTTTCTTTCTATCATTGTATTTTTATTTTTATTTTTATTTTAGAGAGAGTGAGAGAAAGAGTGTGAGTAGGGGAGGGGCAGAGGGAGAGAGAATCCTAAGCAGGCTCCACACTCAGCGCACAGAGCCCAACACAGGGCTCAATCCCACAACCCTGGGATCATGACCGGAGCCAAAATCAAGATTCAGATGCTCAACCAACTGAGCCCCCCGGGCACCCCAAGAGTGTGTGCTTTCAAAGGGGGATTTCTTGAGTAGCAGCTATTCACCAAATTTTACCAGATGCCAAGAGAGAGAAAAAAAGACACCCGACCTTCCCATGAAGAGTTTACATTTTAGTAGAAGTGCGAGATATACAAATAAATGATTAAGACAAAATAAATGCCATCCTAAATAAAAGACAGTACAGTAACTATAACCCTAATTATATGCATCCTTGTATTTGACTATATTATGCGATACTTAGCGCATCATAACTTTTATACTGCGCTTTTTTTAAAGTCTGACACAATCGCTCCACATGATTCATGGATTCCATATTTATGAATTCTCCTGCTTGC